TACTATAGCTCCCTAGGGTCACCTCCTAAGTACTATATTACCTAGATAACCTTATCCTCGTCTAATCAGAATTCCTATAGGAGGAGGTGAAACACTACCTTATATAAATAAAAGAATTTATAATATTCCTTTAGATTCCTCCCTTTATATTTAGCTAGGTCCTTTAGTTTTAGCGTATGCTTCCTATATACTATCTAGAGTAGGCTAGGTGCGTTACACTTATACGTGTTAGTAACCTAGACTTCAACTTCCTTAGTAAGGGTAGTTGGGCTAGGGGTTTAGTTTAGATGCTCAAGTTGTGCAATTTTAGCCTCTAGAATATAGAGTTGCTATAGGGTATAAAGTTTATTACATTTCTTTTCTATAGCTAGGATGCGCTCTTCTAGTAATAGGGGAGGGCTAGAGTTATGTATTAATTGCTCCTCCTCTCCATATTTGATGAGAGGGTCTCCACTTTCTAGGAGGGTTAGGGGTGAGGCCTGCCCCTTACTGGCTATTTAAGTTGTCCTTGGAGCCATCCTCAGACTATTAGAGGTGAAGTATTATTATATAAGGTCTAGCTATAGGTAATAGTATTTGCTTCATGCTAGGATTAATAGTAAAAGGATAACTTAATGGCATTAAGTAAATAATACTTAACTTCCCTAAAGCCGGTGTGCGGCGCGGGGTATACACAGCCAACTCGCTTGGTACGCTAGGACTCTATTAGGCCTTAGCGCCATATGCCACAACACCATAACGAACTTCGCGATCTGCTCGTTACATTTTCTACTATCCTATTGTACCAAGCCTATAGGTAGCAATTTATTTAGGTACCCATTTGAGCCATTACGCACTCCCATATGCCTCGGAGTGCTCCCGGACCCCATACGAATATTTTGCTTCACCTGAGCCGATACATATATATCTTAGGGATTATATAGTATCTAATTAGTTAATATAAGAGAAGAAATATAAGTTCCTTTACTATTATTTCCTTAATATATATTGAGAACAAGAGGGGAGCTGCCAAGCCATGAATCGGGGCCACCAGTGAAGGAAAGCCAAGGATCTTGGAATTCAATGGTTTTCGCGACTGGAACCCAGATTGATATCGACATGCTACTGGCCAAAAAAGAGCCTCCAACGGCGGTGTGGCCTACACCAACATTCGCAGGCGCCATGACATTCGAGTCAACAGACAGCCATGACTAGGTGGGCATACTAGCGGCTGGACATGTTGTGATTCGAGTTTCGGGATTTTGTGAGCGCCAGGGCAGGTCTTGGAGCAGGTTTCGCGTCCACAGGCCAGCCATTCTTTCGTCTTTGACGCGGTATGAGCAATTCTCAATGACACCAAGTATCGCAGCAGGCTGGTCGGACATTCTTGTCAAGTTTCTGTTCGTATAGTTCTCCACCCACGACCACCAAATTGTCTGATTCGTGTCTGGCAATGATCTGTGCCGCACATCGCGGAAGCCGTGCACCATGCCATTAGTTGAGTCCTCCAGAGATTTGGTCTCAGCGCCTTTCAATGACTTGCATTTCCATATCATCAAACCCTCCTAGAAATATAAGATACGTGTGGACAGCAGCAATTCCAAAAATGTCCAGCCACGAGAAGCATGCGGTGTGTTTTGAGTTGTTTCGAATAAATCATGTCGTTCCAGCGAACTGGGCGGGCTCGTCTCTGTGATCAGTTCCAAAAATTCTTCATTCAAGGATCTGGGAGACAGTGCAGCAATAGTGACACACGCGTGGCGATATAACCCAGCCATCTTGACTGCCTCTTCCGCCCAATCAGCTTTATCCACCACCGGACCAGCATCGCCGTCCTGCTCGGATCTTTGAACAATGCATAAAGCATCAAACCACAAGTACGGTATACCGAGGTTTTGCGTGAATTCAATGGCATCCTGAAGTGTTTTCTGGAACTGATCCCATGGAAGTTGTTGTTTATGGCTTTCAAGACGTGACACAGTCGTAGTATAGTTGAGCTCTGTTGATCGCCAGCAATAACTCAAAACGTCAAAGGGTTCTCGAGGGGCATGATCCATCTCCACGAGGTAGATGAGATTCGTCTGGGCCGGATCTCCAGCTTTGATGAACCGTTTCGGGGGATTTCGTGCAAGCCCGCCCAAGCTGAAGTAAAACTCATCCTTATCGTTACAGCGTGGATGATAGGATCTCTGAAAATCTACGAGCCATCTTCGCATGACTGCGATTCGATTAGGCGATAATTTTCCTCGGAGCATAGTCGAAGTTCGTCGTATTTGGATCTGAATTCATTCGTGCACCGTCTAGTGCCGATGGCATATTGATGAAGGAGACTCGACCCCGAGAAGATACTCCTAACTATCATGGATATGAGGTCGTTGAACCCCGCACCGAGCTGAAGCCAGCTGAAACCCCTCAAAACTGGTTCGCCAATTAAATACACTGGGCGCATCCAGCCTCAGGTGAAAGTGAAAATTCGGGGGGTGGGCCCGTTGCCTCATGCTATATCCACCACGATGCAATTACGTATTCAGCTGGTCATTCTAACTAGAAGTCCTGATACCCAAACCTGAATCCAGCACCTGCTTCAACGATGTTGAGTAGAGAGGTTATGTCTATGTAACACAAGTATCACTTCCCACTGACCAGACTCTTGCATCTAAGGAGAACAATGCGATTTTATAGATCATAATTCTCCTGGTATGAAGTGTGGTAGCTCTCCCATAGAGGGGCAGAAGTATGTCGGAAGTTTTCTTGTCGCCCTGCGAATAAGATTACCGGTACACCCCCAACGTCAGTTCACTCAACCTCAAACAGCACCACCGATTCCCGAAGAAATTAAATCGCATAATGAAGTTCGAGCTACTACCAGTCATATACACAGATGTTCCCGCTCTCGCGCGAATCAGTGCCGAAGCCTTCGCACGCGATCCGCATGCCCAAGTGAAGCAATTGGGCCGCAAACCAATTGACATGTTTTCCTTGACGTCTCCGGTCATCACGCAGAGCCTTAATCGCGAAAGCATTGTATACATGAAAGCTGTAGACAACGAAGAGAACGAACTTCCGGGATTCTGCTGTTGGGGCTATCGAGTGGACACCCAGCTGGTGCCGCGCGCCGACCCGGGAATGTTGCCTTCGGAGACGGCAAATGAAGAAGATGGAGAAGAAGGTTCGACAAGTGAGAATGACAGCATAGATCCTCTCAACACACTCGAAGCAGAAGATATGAAGCGGTGGATGGATATCTTCATGCCCGACGAGACGACGCAGTGCCTGTACATTCAAATGTTATGTGTTGCCCCCCATGCACACGGGAAAGGACTTGGAAGTGCATTGGTCCTGTGGAGAGCAGCGGTCGCGGATCGACTCGGTCTATTCACCTGGGTACAAGCTTCTGAGAAAGCCTACCGAGTCTTGTCGAAACATAGTTTTGGTGTCGTGGGGGATTGGACGTGGACCTGGAAGAATGGGCACCGGACGACGCACGACGCAAGAATGAATTGGGGATAATACATGCTGAGGTATATGAAGCGCCTACCGGTGAAGCAAGGCGACTGAATAACATCTACAACATCTTGTTTCAGCCTCAACTTCGAGATCGATGACGAAATTTTCTGTCTATGACGGGTGTGCGGCGCAGTCAAGCAGGCTGAAACCAAAAAGTGTCTGCCTGCGTGCGGGGCAATCTTGTGGCTGCATGAACCATCCCACCCACCCTGAGGCGGTGCTGTGGCTGTTACATTTTACCGCTGCGTGCAGCTCGCTTGAGCATACTCTTAGGCACGAAGGTATATAAGGCTCGCAGAATTCAGCCTGAGGATCCGCCGTCGCCCCAGTGACCCGCTCACGTAGTACCGGGTTCGCCCCTTTATCTGCAAACTGCCCCTTGCACAAGACTCCGTCCGTAGAGACATACGATGTCATCCACACCACCTCCTCCTCCCGGTCAGCCCATCAAAAGGCATACCACTGGTGCCACTGGCAAGGCACATGGATTCAAACTTTTTCGCCGTCCTGAGAGCTTCGCGATAACTGCGTCCAAAAAGAAGAGTAAAGTCAAAACCAAGCCAGCGACGTTTCTTTATTACGAATTGAAATATGATATAGCCAAGGACTGGCTTTTTGAGAGATTTCCAGATTTGAATAACGATGAGAAACTGCTTAACCTCAAAAAGGTAAGTCGGATCGGGCTCCGCTGCCCATCTAGCTTAGCTCACAATATCCAGGATGGCAGCGCGTGGACATTCAACATTCCGGAGGGGGAAGAGCTCACGGAGGTAGAGAAGACCCTCTCTTGTCTCTCAACGTGTCGAGGCTGATGAGCAATAGGATGACCAGCGGGCTGTGGACGAATTGAGGGGCGAGTAGTGTGGCGGTCGGTAGCGTTTACCTCCATCCGGGAAATTGTTAGGCTTGCGAGCGCTTCTTGATACCTCTGGTAGACCAATTCTTTGTTTTGACAATGACTGTGCATTCAAGATTGTGCCGAAATGATGCGTCGTATGTGATTCGTAAACGCCTCGAGCTGACCGTGGTTCGCCGGTGTCGCGCAGTGGTGGCTTAGCCGCTTCACCCTTGAGATCTGGGCGTGCCGAAACATGTCCACCCATGCAAGAGCTGTCACCGGATGCAGCCACGCCTGTGGCTCAGATTTCATCGCCCCCCAAAGGCAACCCCTTCTTGCCCTTGATATCCCACCTTTCCCACCGTGTTTGGGCATCGACAGTTTGTGGAAGTCGCTTATGTTTGAATTCTTTTGCTTTTCGCTCACCCTTGACTCGATAGTAAGCAATGACATCGCAACCTCATCAGCCAGCCTCGTTCCAGCGATCCTATGATGGGAGCGATTCTTATCCACGATGTCTGATGTACAAAACGTCCTACAGTGGAGTTTTGAAGGCCTATAACGAGCGAATTGAGACATCGGAGCCTCGGTTCTTAACGCGCGACGAGAAAGATGTTGATGTTCATTTACGCGACTGGGACGATAAGGCGAACAGTGCGTCTCCCCCTGGCACCTCGCAGCCTCGCTAACAACAACAGAATTCGTCGATTATCAATTCTCGAATGAAGGTTCCCTGAGAAAACATTTTGGCGAAGAGGATACCCCCGATCCCTCTACTGGCAAAACAATTTGGAAATTGACACCTCAGCGAGATCCAAAATGCCGCTTCATGTAGGTAGCTTTCTGGCAGCACGAGAAGACCTACTGATCAGAGCAGCTTCCTATATGCCAAGCTGTCGTCGAAACCTCTTCGGGTAACCCCGCGGATACTAAAGAGGCTTCTGACGTACCATCAAATAATGCCAGCGTTCATTGACTTCATCGCGGTATTTGCTCATCCACCACGGCAAAAGGAAATAGGCTTCAGTGGTTTCTTCGACCAAACAACTCTCTCGTATAGACCAACCACCAGCAACGCAGCGCAGCAGTCGTCTACGGGTGCCTTGCCGACTGCAAACACAGCGCAGCCCTTGACACAAGCAGTAAAAGTGCCTCGGGGGCCAACAATTACCGCATTAGGACGGAGTGGTAGACAGTATCAAATGTGCTACAACCTGAAAAGAGTAGCGAGGATTGACGACAAGAGTTCAAACAAATTCACTGATCAGGACTGGTCCATCCAGCAGAGTCAGTTCCATCATCAGTTTGATGTAGAGCAAGGAACGACATTATGGATGAACGCAAAAGGCCGACTGAAAGACTACCGCGATAAAGTACTAGAGCTCACTGGAAGTGCCAAAGGCATTCCGGAAGAGCTCACTTTTGACACTACCGAGAACTGTTTCCGCTCCAGCCTAATCGTGCATTTGATGAACTGCCACTGGGCGACGGGGGACTGGAGGGGCTACTTGAATCATCTTGAAATCGCGATCAGCTCTTTGGTGAGTACCCCAAGCTGGTAAAAATCCAGGAGACTAACATTTTACTAGACAGATGAAGTCCCTGTAGGGATATGGCTGAACAAGAACTTCACTCCCAAAGTTCTCCAGGATGTTCAGCAGTTCGAGGAGAAAGCAAGCAGTGCAGTCATGGTCTTGGAGTCCAACATGGAAGTGATGACAGAAATGCGCAAATTTTACGAGAAGCTGATAACGAATGATGAATTTCCGATGAAGGACCCATGCGCAGAGGATGTTCTGGCCTTTGTTCAACAACTAAACAACATGGTCCACGCATTTTCTGGTCAAAGACGACGAGCCATATTGCTAGTCGACCTAACTGGAAACAGGAAAAATCTGCTACTCCAGAAGCTCCAAAGTCTTGCGACCAAGAAGATGGAAGATCTAACAACAATGTCGTATCGCGAGGCCATCATTATGAAGGTCATCGCCGGTGGGACATTTATTTTCCTCCCTGCAACATTTGTATCAACCTTCTTTAGCACCGACGTCGTAAAGTACCAGGGGTCCTCGAGTGGAAAGGGTGATTTTTCGTGGGAAGCTATGAGAATATGGCTCGCAGTCACCGTACCATTGACTGTTGCAACATTCGTCATAGGTTTCCTGGTTTTCTACCTGGCGGATGAGAGACGAAAGCGTCGCCTGCCTTCGTCTTACGACGAGAAGGAGAAGGATGCGTAGGTTTATAGCGTGCTTCCACGTGGGCTTTCCAGTGTATTAATCCCGTGTACTTGTAGGCAAGACTGTGGTTGATGGTTGACTCTCATGAGGACGCAGTGGCTGAAGGGTCCCAACAAAAAAGCGCGAGCTGAACTCGATGGGGCGCAAGGCCCTGGTTCTCGTAGCACCCCAAGCTTGCCTTAGTGCTGCACCTAGCCGCCGCCCTGTAGTAGGAGCCGACGCGGCAAAAGCTTCGAAGGTGTATTGACCTCTCTTTTTCCTCATGTCTATTGCGATCCCATGTGGCCCCAGAATGCATATAGCGTCCAAATAATCTGGCCAAAATGATGGTGAGACATTCCTTCTGACTCGATCCCTCCACCAGCCCTCGCTTGCCTCGGAACAGTGATGCCGACCAGGCTGGGGCCGGAAACCAGGCTGCATGGTGGCGGCACTTCTGGGCAAGGAGCTGACCACCTGCAAACACCGAGACTGGTCACGCTCTGGGAGGCCGCCAGCCTGGTCGAAGTAACAGCCTTTCGCAGAGATGTCGTTGCCTGGCCTCTTCCACTCTTCTCTCGTCTTTTGCGAGCGCATCCTTTCCTTTGGGTATTGTTTTTTTGCGCCTGAGTTCGCGTCCTCCCGCGCTTCGATCGCGCAGTCTGCCCCTCTTCTGCGGTACCTTACAAACGTGAGGCTAGCGACCAAGAGCTGCGCAGCTCTTCTCGATGCGCAAACATGGCGGTGGCCAGTATGTCTCCGATTGATCAGTTTCGAAAGCAGCTGGACGATTATAAGGTCATGCCGGCATACGAGGGCGGTCGCGAGTATATTCGCTCATCGCAGTTGATGAAATGGATGGGCAGTGGCACAATTACTGAGGACGGACGGGCCTATACCAACGCAGAACGCCTACTGTGGTCGGTTTATGGAAAGCGGCAGTCTTTCCCACCTATTTCGCATTCTAAGATTTGCGACAATGGAAGCGATCGGTGCGTCGTTGTGTTCAGTATACTCCTCGAAATCAACCTAGGCCACATGATCGACCAAGTCCAGAAGCAGGACATTGTCGACCAATACATTCCAATGTCCCTGGGGAGTTTGAAAGAAAAATTTCAGACAATTGATAAGGCCCGAGGCATTGAATATGCTGAGCGATTCGACAAGGCGCAATGGAAGTTTCGTCCCTTGACCCTTCGCTGGGATATGGATAAAGACGTTCCGGAGCAACGAATCATACCCATTGTTAGGAAGCAAGAAATCGGACGGGGGGGTCAAGCTCGCGTCTACTCCATCGTGGTTCAGGAGGACTATGTGAATCAGCAGCTGCGCGACAATCTTCCAAAGGACGAGCACACGCGGTTTGATGACGAACACTTTGGCTGGGTAAGTTGAGAGCTGGCACATTGAATCGTCGACCACTAACATTCTTCTAGTGCTACCAATTTGCCCTCAAGACCTTCGAAGAAGGAAACAACAGTCGTAACTTAGCCTATTTCAACGACGAGAAAAGCGCATTCGACGCCCTAAAGTACAACAAGGGGATGATCAAATATCTGGGTAGTTTTGGGCACAAAGAACTTCGAAAGGCGCAAAAACAAAACGGCGAAGACACCGAGAAAATTGTCATCCTGAAGCACATTCTGCTCGAATACGGGAGGTTTGATCTCATGAAAATCTTCATGTATCGTCTTCCGCCGGTTATGCCGGATGAGATGCAAGATTTCTGGACACGGTTAATTGAGATTGCCGATGGGTTGAAGGGCATTCACAAGATCAAGACAAGGAACGGCGAATATGCGGGGTAAGCGACGTTCTCTGCAGTTCCAAACCCTGTTTGAGAAGCACGAGCTGACCTGGGACCAGTTGGCATAACGACATCAAGCCGGGCAACATCATCGTCGTGGACAACGAATACAAACTGGCAGATCCGGGGTTTGCAAAGTTTCAAAAGCGACTGGAGTCTGATCGCGATTCTATTCCAGAAATCATTCAAGATGGACTGACCCAGTCATACGGTATGTGTCGGTGGTATTATGGTGCTATACGAAGCTAACAAGAACTTCAGCTGCACCGGAGTGCTTCGCTCGAAATCGGAACGCTAGAGCTAAGGTCCCCCAGAGTGTAGACATCTGGTCGGTTGGCTGTGTGCTATCCATGGCTGTTACCTGGATTGTTTTAGGCTCCCAAGGCGTCTATCAATTCAAAATGCTCCGCCAAAAGGCAGTCGATCGAATCCTGGAATTTGCTCCGAAGGATCCTCAACAGCGGACGATTGACCCAGGAGATTTCTTCCACAACGGGATTGAGATCCTCCCTGAGGTGAAGCAGTGGCATAAGTACTTGCGGAGCGTTGCACGGAACACAGATCACATCACGAAGAACATGCTTGATTTCATCGAGCAATTTTTGCTTATTCCTACTGGTGGTAATACCGAGCGCATACCAGCTGAAGGGCTGTACACGGGTCTTCAAGAAGTTCTCCGCAAAAGCAGGGCAGAAGATACGATGCTTCATATGGACGATTTGTTCGATATGCTCCGCGATATTGACCAGGAGGCTCCGTCGACACCCTTTGAGGTCCAGGCTCAGCAGCAGACCAACCTCAACGCAATGTCACAGCGACCTCGCGTAAAGCCCAAGATCGACAATCTTGAGGTCCCGGATTTCTTGAAGACAGCCTCTCGTTATGAATCCTTGACAAAGATTGCAGGAGCTCGATCACCAAAGATAACTCCAACCGTACCCGCATTAGCACATCCCACGGAAGTATACTCTACGAGACCCCCTAAGGGGCCACAAGCCGTGAACGGAGATAGCTATTTCCCTGCTCTTACGGCGTCCGCTCAGGGCCCCTCAACACACACCGGAAACGTATTGCCAGGTCCTTACTTTCCACCGCCTCCGGCAATGCCACAGACACCGAGGCGAGCGACAACATTCAACACACACAGGAAGCAGAATGAGACTTCGCCAGAACCTCAGAATGTCCTTCAAGCGCGCGAAGAGTTCCGAGACAGTGCATGGTACAGGAAGCCGACGGATGATGTACTTAAAGCATACTTCGACAACCGGGATATCGTAAGTTCCTATCTCACTGATGCATAGTGGCCTTTACTGACAAAATTTGGAAGGTATTCCTCGTCGACAATGCTTCTAGTATGGCACCATACTGGGATGAGGCGACATTCTTGCTCGAAACGCTTGTCATGAAGGCCAAGCCTTTCGACAAAGATGGCATGGACCTGTTCTTCACCCTATCCTCCACGAGCATCAAGGGCTCCAAAGACGAAAGCAAGTTCAGGAGTAAGATGCAAGCCACGAGGCCGCGTGATGGCAGTAATATGATTACCGACATGGTACGACCAATTGAGACAGTGTTCTCAACTTACTTTAAGGAGCTCGAGAAAAGCAAGCGCAAAGGAACTAAACCGAAGGAAGAATTGACGCTCATCATCCTCACGGACGGTATATGGGCCGGCATGGAGACCTCAGATGAGGTCTACAAATACATACTGAAGCTGCTCAAGGACCTGGAGAAACGCAAGATTCTGGGCTACAAAAAGCGGCCGGTGAGCATCGAGTTCGTCCAATTCAGTGACAATGCAGATGCGACCGAGCGCCTCCGAGCTTTGGATGATGATATAGAGTACAATGGTTTCGTGTATGTCACCCGCGGGACTTCTATAGCATTTCTAACGTTCCAACAGCGACATCATAGACCACGAAAGATTCACAGTCAGCGGCGACGTGCGCAAAATGCTCCTTGGCAGCTTCGTCCCGCTCATGGACCGCCTGGACAACAACATCAACCCAGAGTCCCCACCTCTGCGATCCGATACTGTGAGCACGACCGCATCCGCATCCAATGGCACGAATAGACATTCGATGCCTCCGAATATGTATGGCAGCTACAATGCTATTGCACAGCATTTGCAGCCCATCGCTGAGCTGGACACTTCGTCGCAGAATAGGACACAGACCAACAGCACGGGATCTTCCGGCTCGAGTTTTACGACCTCGCTTCCTCAGCCAAAGACTAATAAATTCTCTTTCATGAGATGACAAGATAGTGTATTGGTGCTGTTTCATTTTTTATCATGTTGCATGGCGGCAGGCCTGGCCAGGTATGACACTTGACAGCGAAGATTCTCCCGGCTGTAGTATCGGCAGCGTCGTTTGGGCCTTTGGAATACATGGTGCGAATTCAAACCTAGGAAGACGCCAAAAGATCGAATGAAGGCAGACCCAAGATGATTACGGGAGTTGGATGCAGCCAAAACAGAGACACGCGCGGTAAAGGACAGCGGGAATCGCCGGCATCCTCTGCCATGACCATCGATGGAATAATCATGCCGTTCCGGGTCGAGGGACAGATAGATGTGCCAGCGTAATCCCTCTCCGATATGCATGATCGGTTTGGGCTCTGCGCGGAGTCGAGACACTGGGGCATGATGGCCGCACGACTGCAGGCAATCCGGACATGGGGACAAGAATCACGAATGTGAAAAAAATCCTAATGAGACTTATCTCGAAGACTCTGTTCTCTTTGTGCTCACGGAGAAGGAAAGGGATCCAGAGGGAGAAGATGCCAGATGCCTTCTACAAGAGAACTCGAGCACCTAACACCGTGTATGAGGACGAGGACCTGGATGATGCGGAGTTCAAGAGATATTCGCTCTAGTTGACTAAGTACACAAAGCAGGAGCAGGAGTATATGAAGGTGGCAGCTCTCAATAAATTCCATATCGAGATCCTGGAGACGATTACAAGGAGGCACTTCCTCCTTGTGGGAAACCTGACAACACCGCACGAACGGAGGAGAGCTCTCAAGCAGCTCTGCGCCCGTCAACAGAGGAGCGAGAGTCTCAGCTCCTAGCAAAGTATCAAGAACTTCAGAAACGTCCAACACGAGCGAATATTGAGGAATGGGTTGACAGGTGGCGAGATATCCAACGGCTTATGGAGGCTGCGAAGATGCCAGAGACGCAAGGGCAGCGAGCCCAAAACGATTTCCTCAACACCGTGAATGAGACGGACGCAACATGGGTAGCAGCCCATCGTATTAGTATGATCACGAAGAGCCAGTTGGATGAGCCCTTCATGTTAGCATATGACCTGGTAGACTAATATTCTCTGTACTATCGCCAAATGCAGTTGGTGGCGTCGACGCTGAAATCATTTACAACACTTGGTGGTCCGGAACCAGGCGGACGGTCTCAGGATAACCAGAGGTTTCAGGAACCACAGTACCTATGCGGACGTAGGCACAAGTTTGTCAACTACTTCTATATCAACACAAAGAAGCGGCCCGATGGATAGTATCCTGACCTAGAGACCCAGAAAAAGTTTGAGAAGATTCGAGCAAGTAAGAAGCACCTGCTGCGTAGCGTGTTGCTAAGTGCGGACAAGAAATGCAAGGCAGAGAAGCCAAGAGGCACTGTTGACTCTGACAATGGGAAGCCGCATGAGAGTCAGAACGTCTCCAATGCCTGTATACAGATAGGCGCGGTCAATCAAATGCCTACGGCACAGCTTACACAATGGATTATAGATCTTGGATCGAATTGCCAGGTCGCAAACCATCGAAGACCAACCTGGAAAAGGCCTGCTATAGGCCAAGAATCGGACACGGTGTACGCAGGAGGACAGCGTGTACAGATTGCTGAACATGGCGAGATTGGGTTAAAAATTGACACACCTAAGCGCGTCAGTTCTATCCGACTCTCGTGGGTGGCGTATACCCCGGGTTTCTTCACCTCTCCAGGATCGCTGTCACGTTGCCGTACAATCTGAATCGATTTCGACTCTGGACAGAATTGCTTGTACAAGGGAGGTCGCAAAAACATAGTATGCAATCTCAAGTACAATGGTGGCCACCAAAAGCCAAGGACCTGCTGATAGCCAACGCGGCTACTCAGACAAGAAGAAAGCAGGCAGTCAAGCCATCTCGCGTTGAGAGGGTACAGTCAGAGCTTATGGCAGAGGGTTCTCACTGCAGGATGGGTCACCCAGGCAATAAAGCCATTGGAAGACTTGAAGTTGCCGTTGACGGTATTCGAATTATCCAGAGCACACTGCCAGCGCCGAAGTGGGATGAATGCGATGTGTGCATTCATGCGAAACTCCACCAGATAGTGAGTGAGTCCCTAAATGCTAACTTAAACCGTACCAAACTATTAAATCCAGAAGGGTAACTAGTCCTAAAGGGTTACGGTCAATTTTTAGGCAAGATAACCAAGGGAAGGGAAGGGTCTTATTAATATAATAGTATCCTATAGAGTATAACAAGTTAATAATATAACCTAAGTGAAATCTAAATAATAGATTAATAAATAGGTTAAGTATAAGTATAAACCTTTCTACTTAAGTGTTGAATCCAGAAGGGTAGCTAGTCCTAAAGGGTTAAGGTTGGTTCTCGGGCAAGACAACTGAGGGGAAGGGAAGGGGTCTTGTTGATACGTGTTACGGCGACCGCGCCGCACCAGAATTACGATAATGACGGCGTCAGCAGCGATGACCAATGGGATAGTGATGACCTTAATTACGCTTACGGTTCCGATGCGGAACACAACATAAACACGTGAGGAGGTCACGTGATTAGATATGTGGATCTGTGGATCTGTGGAAGACAGAGCCACAGAGCCAATAGAGCCAGGTTAGATAGGAGTATATAGGGATGATGGATTACCGTGGTAATCCATCATCGTTAATCCACGATACAGTTACTGCATCCAGTTTCCTTACGGAAAGATTACTTGTGACGTTTTGGCAACACAACCTCACCATAGTTGATTGACACATTAATCTAACGCGACCATACCGCTTCCTGAAGCCCTCATTTCCCACCAGAACCCCTTCGAGATTAGCTTAGCCCAAAGCCAAGCGATCCCCGTTACAATACGATAGTATCTTGCGAAGTGTAACGAGTCAACAATATGGCCTGAGTGTAATCCAAACGATAGATTAATAAACAGGTTGAGCACGAGTATGAGAGTTTATACTCGGGTTCCTATATAGTTGATCTACTCAGTTGCTCAGTCGGCTGAGCAGCTGATCATATCACGTGATTTCCTTGGCCCTAGTGGCTCGGCATCTATCGTGACCTTAATCCTGGCCCTTCGTTTGTCTTAAGCGCCCATCCCCCATCTCACATTCTAGTTCGTAATATTAAGCTCCTATATACCTCTAAGTGCTTTATTACAATCACACAGAATTACTACAGGAAGACAAAGGTGATATGCGGGAAGAACCCGGCAAAGGACCTAGAGGCCAACGCACTAAAGGACGCTAAGCGACCACCCTAGTTACGTTAGCATAGGCGGTCACGTAACCATGCTCCCGCCAAGAGGACCTTAGCGAGGGAGTAGGAAGGTGCTCCCACCAAGGAGGCATTAGCAAGGGAGCAAGATGCTCTAGGAGAAGGTTGCTCCCGCTAAGGAGGCATTGGCGAGGGAGCAGACCAGGACTATAGAGGATAGAAAGACGAGTATATAGTCTTAGACGTTCTTTAAACATTTCTATTCTTCATAGTTAACTTTAAAAGCTTACTTTTATATCTAAATTAAAGCCACTCATCTCTATACAAATTATTAGCCTTCTCTTAATATTTATTGCATCATACTATTATATAGTGTAGGATATTCACCTAACCTCTTTGGTACCGCCATCCCTTACGCTCGAATTACTAAATA